GGTAGACTTGGCACAGACATGCTTAGTGTGTAGATGTAATTTAGACGCTCCAGCGACATTGAGTCTTCGCACAGACTATTTGAAACTCTTTCAGAGTCTGGATTCGCTGTTCCCTAGAAAGGTGCAGGGGTGCCGTACACCTTTAACCAGCTGTTAAAGCGTGTTATTTACAGCGTAAAATTTTTTCGTTTAACAATGGTTACTAACTTTTCCCGCAGGTTTCTTATCATAAAATCTAGAATACTCTATGTATTTGCTTTCTAAGACAGGTGAAAGCACCCGAGTTGTAACGCGAGCATTTATTACCAACAGCCCCACTTGCTGCCAAGATTGTCCATGGCTTTCGTTTCAAAAAGTTGCTTGTAAGCAAGCTGATGGCCCATTTGACTTCTCAGTATGCACCAGTTTCGGTTTACCATCAAAAGAAATGGATGAATCGTAAAAAAATTGGTTGTCTTGACAGCGGAGCTGGAATTTCGATCTATCATACGACAGATAGCTCTACGTCTTATACCGCTGTGCCCATCGGTTCTTATTTTATATCGCACTACGTTTTGAAAGGTTTTTAAATGTCAGATTTCATAAAGAAAACTGCAAATTCCGGACGGAAAGTTATGCGTTGTCGAGTATTCTACGCGCACTTCCTCCAGTTTGCAAGATAAACTGTTATTGCACAAATAGCGCTGTAACGGGCGGGTAAAATTACAGTGAACGTTTCACTTGAGGGAGTGATAAATCCTAGCGAAGAACTGTGCAACAGAATGGATAAAAATATTCCTCTGCAGTGAATTAGTTTTGTTTGCTTTAAGAATCATTATCCACTGAGTCAGAGAATCACGCTTTTTTGAAAATTATACACTTGTTTCGTTTGCGGTAAGTCAAAGGACATCCAAAAACTTTCAAAATTTTCTCCGCATCTTCCCAGCAAATAATCTTTCATTTGCCGTAATCTTTGATTTATGGAAACTCTTGATTCCATCTTATCGTTCGTCGATGTAGCCAGTAAATGTGCTTATGATACTTGTTGCATCTTTACATCCTCTTTGACGTTTGTTGCTAGCGGTGGTAGGTTTGAGAAGAGATGTGACTCAGAGTAAAATATTTCTCGGCCGCAGTGGATGGATTGTTTTATGTGAATTGATGGTCAGTAAAACACCCACTTTTCTATACTCATCCGCATACGAAAAGTCCATTTGAACGCTTGCATGGGATGACCTGGCCGTTCCACGAATGAGGCTTTGTTTGGATCCGCTGTGTAGCGGAATCAAATTTCTCACCCAGCGTAGTGGGCTGTCTTCGCTGAATTTCCTAACATTTTGAATGAATTGCGCTCACCTTGCTGGAAGTTTCCCATTTATCCAAATAATTTTGGTCTTTCGTAAAAGCACAAGCAAAAAACGTAGCTTACTAATTGCCAGTAACAGTACTGGTACATATTTACAGCCATTACTACCAATTTTACAAAAACCCAGATTGCATCGCACCAGACCTGCTGGTGTGATCATGCGTTTTTGCGCTAGAGTTTCCGAGAGTTACAAATGCGAATGGTTCCTGCACTGTAGTTTAACACTCGAATGTACATTGGCTGTGTTTTGGCCTTTTTCTGCATCCAGAGGAAAACAGCATCGTTCTGGAAGGAAAGTGTTGCATTATGGGGCCTCATGGACCTGCAGTATGCATCATTATCAGTTTTTGCATGAAGTCTGGTGAATGCTTGCAAATTTGAAGAGAGTCGGGAGAAGATTATGAAATCTGCAAAATGCATCTGCTTTTGGGTTTGCAATAATACTATTTGTCACGACTGCGTATAAAGAATTCCACTTCCAAACTGAGTTATTACACGTAAATATAGATTATCATTGCAAAGTTTCAGCTTTGCACCTTGTCCTGTAAACGAAATAGCCGCTTCGCCACAAATATCTTTGAAGTGCCCTAAGAAGTGGCGCAAGTGCAAGTCGAAACTCAGTTTAGGTATAAGATTTTCGTATAAGCAACAAACATTCTGACAAAATTTTGGCTACCGTCTTCCGACTTGTCATTGTGCCAATTGCGAAATTTGAGTGACCGAACGCGCAGTATATGCGTGTGCAATGGCTCAATTTGAAATCCTTAGTTCATATATGCGCAGCGAATATCCCTATAATATCCCTATAAAATTTCAGCTTTCTATCTTGCTGGTTCATAAAATCGTTTCCCGCCAAAGAAATTTGCATATTCTTTCAGGGTTGCGCACGCGAGATCTGGGCGAG